TAATTATTATTTAACTATCTTTATAAAGGACACTGAGATCCTTATATGAAAAGCTTTATTATATCAGCGCAAAGTGTTATTCTTATTCTTATTCTTATTATAAAGTAGTTGGCGCGAGCAGGAAAATATTTTAGTCCCCAGTATTGCTAGTTATGAGATTTTTATAAAGGAAACATATCAAATAAGAAGCAGAAGCAAGACTTTATTTGTGTACTGCTAATTTTTATTTATTAAACCCTTTTATATATAGCCAGGTCACATGCTATCTCAGGCTAGTGCTTTAGTTTTGTTTTTCTAAAAAAATTACATCAATGGTTTATTTTGACTTTTTTTTTTTTTTTTTTTTTTTTTAGAAAATATATAAATAGTGACAAAGCAAGTAGTTTGATACATTTTATGGATACCACCTAGAGGTCTACATGTACACACTTCTGTGCAGTCAAGGAAGCTTACATATTTTTGAACTCTAAGTTGGTCTAATAAAAGATATGAGACTACAGTACTTGCTTTGTCTGCTCTGTTTTGTTGGTTCAGAATGACTACGGATTCATTTTCAATTTTTATCATAAAAACTGAGAGATTTGATTCCAGGTTAATGGTCTTGAAAGAGGCTTGTACAACAGTACAGAATGTTGTCAGTTTGAAATTGATATATATTTCAAAATAGGAAGATATGAAGTTATATTAACTTGGGAATTTAGTTTTTATAAGGAAGACTTCAAAGATTTTTTAAGTAACCATACCATGTATTTGATGGTGGAAATTAGAATGAATGTTTCTGGCTAGTTAATGATGTGATGTGGTTATAAATTTCTGTTTTTATTGCTTGCTCAATATTGGCTTTTAATATACACAGATTAGTATGCAGATGGAAGGAATTTATAGTCTTGGTCTCCTTGTTTCACTCTGTGTTACAGCACCTTTTTCACACTTTATGTTATACATCCTGTTGATGGTATTTATCCCCACAGAAAGGAAATATCTGTGGATTGAGACAGTGCTTTTGACGTATATTGGAAAGCTGTGTCAGCTTTCACTATTTAATTGGATGAAATGAGTATTATTTAGCACTTACCCTGAAAGTCGCATGAGTGAAATCCTAGCCTAATGGAATTCAGTGGCAAAATACTTGTTGACTACAGTGGGGTTAAAATTTCACCCATGTTTTCTAACTACCCGATAACGGTGAAGATTGGCAGCTAAGAAAGATACCATAGTAATACCAGTAAAGAAAATGCATTCAAATAATAATAATAATAATAATAATAATTAATAATAAAGAGTCAGTACTATAAACTGTCTAAGGCGTAGGTTTTCAACACAAATAAAATCCAAGTTGTATAAAAGCCATATGTATGATATGTTTATTGTTGTTAGTTTTTAGGCCTCAGAGGCTTAGCTGGCTCACTTCTGAAATGCAGCGACAGTTACAGCTGTGTTATACATTTGTGTTCTATGGGCTATTGTACTTCATCCCTTACTTACCTCATCTTCGTGGGCAAGCATCTGCTTAATCTTATTTCATGGAACTGCAGCTGTATTTCTAGAATTCTGCGATCCTCTGGTGTTCCCCTCCCTGTAAAATAATATCGTTTAAATGTACCAGCATTTTCTCTGGTAAACAACTACAAAATGCATATTTATTCCTGATGGCAATGTCATGTAGAGAGTTTTTCCTCATTCTTGAGTTCAGTTCAAGAGGAAAACATGCTTCTCGATTGGTGTTCACATTAGCCAGCTGCAGTTTATAATAATAATAATTAACAGCACAATGTTACAACAGTGTGCTCAGGATTTATTTAGGGTGAAGGGAAGCAGAGAAATGCCATCCAGTATCTTAAGTTTATATACCTCTTCCATCAATAACTATTCCAAAGTGCTTTACAAACTATATTATAGGCAGGGCTGATACTGAATGAATAATGTATGGGTGGTTAGAACTTGGTTTTGTGTGTCTTCTGAAAATCAAAATACAAGGAGCTGGCACTTGGGACAATGGTTAAGGCCCCAATTCAGTTATTAGGCACAAGTTTTAATGCAAGCAGAGGAATAATCTCATCCCAGTACAGTAGTGTACTTTGGCATGTGCTTATCTTCATATACATGATTAAGTCTCATTGAAGATACTTTTGTGTGAAAGTTGCGAGAGACGAAAGTATCACTATTAGGGAAAGCATGTAAGAACATACTTAATTTTAAGTACAGATGGGATGACTTGGGGAGCTCTATTTACAGTTTATGAATGTATTTTGATACTGGAGACTCTCTATATGTATCTGTGTCAGGCTGCAGATTCCATTTTGAAGGTGCCTTCTCTATTGTCTTTTTTAATTTCTGTGTTGGACTGAAATTCCAAGCTTGTTGATAATGGTGGAGTGTTAAACCTTGCTGGTTTTCTATTCAAAATGCAAGCATACTTGGACAAAGATGGTGGTCAGACCAAGAAAAGCAGTCTGCCTAGTAGGCTGGTGGTTAAGCAACAGATCACTTCATGGCAGAACTGGATCACCTCATGAAGTTGATTAGGAAGTCACCTGAGAAGAAATAAGTTTTTTTAAAAAAGGTCTCCCATTAGCTATTGTAGAGGGGGAGGGAAAAGAAAGCTGAAGCAGAAGCAAAAAGATGGTTGCAGCCATCACTGGAAACTCCCTGCCTCTGAGAAGCCATTGAAAGAGGAAAGATTCTGGACTTCTTAAAATTATCTGATCTAAGCCCAAAGAACACTGAAGAATGTTGAGGAAACTGAGGCTGGGAAAGGCATACAGGTATTTTGTTGTTTTGTCTAGAGCTGTATAATTCTTTAGCTATCTATAGTAAAGAGTAATTGTTTTAGAATTTCTTTTAGAAAGCTTATGTTTTTTATGGTTCCATTATCATGTTCTTTGGAGACGTAGACTGTAAACCAGACTCCTCACAAGGTTGGTACTCTAGGAAAGGGTGTGCTTAATTTATTGGTGTATCTTGTGGGGGATCAGCAGTGGTTCTGGTGGTCTTAGATAGCCAGACAAGAGGCCCCACTTCTTTGAAGGGTGTACCAGATAGAATCTCTGCCTAAGAAGTGGGCCAGAGAGGCTGTAGTTAAAGACAATGCCTGGGGAATTGTAAAGCGTATGGATACAGCACATTGAGACCCAAACACAGCAGCTTGGTGAATGTCCGGCAGGGGGAGCTTTACCAGAATTGTCACAATGTAAGTGATTTCCTGAATAGGAGTTAAAGTGATGAAATGCAGGTTTAAGAGTTTTTACACTAAGGCCTGATCCAAAATTAATTGAAATAATTGGGAAATCTTTCTATGAATTCAGTGGTCTTCGTATCAGGTGTATGATGCAGTTTTCATTAGTTGCCATTTTCACTCCTTACTGTCATATATAAAATTCTGTTTAATAAAAGCCATGCTCAAATTAATTTTAGGTATATACACCACATGGTTCCTTTATTTGTACTTATGATGGTCTTCTTCTTCTCTTTATATTTATACATTAAAATTAATTGGAGTATAACTGGCAAACTATCTTGCAAATCCTTAAAATTCACATATATTTTCAGGCACCTGTATGAGCTTTCTCCCCCAAACCTCAGGAAACCTAATTAGATTCTGCAGTCAGTACATTCTTACTGAAGTTAATGGGAAAGATTTTGAATGTGGAAAGTCTGCAGTATCAAAAATTATGCCAAATAGGTGTATAGTCCTACAGAATAAAAAAGTCAGCTCCTTAGGGTGGCATTTCTGCATCCTGTAAATCAACATTTATCTGCATCGATAAAAATCATATGATCTTATATTAATGAAATACATTGCACAGTATAAAACTGGCTTCTGAATTTATTTTACCCATATACTATAGGATATTTTTGGAATAAGTATACTGTGCTGTCTTACAATTTTTGGAGGATGTTTTCAGGACATACTGTTTCTCCACCTGATCTATAGCCCTTTCTGTAACAGTCCTTTAATGCTCTTTGATATGCCATGGATGAGCATCAAAATTATAAAACTTATAGCCAAATTTTAAAATGTGAGTTTTTGGCATCAGCAACAAAGCTACCACACTTTAGGATTTTTCTTTCTAAATTCTTATTTACTAGTACATCTGTATATTTATTTTAGGTGTTTAAACCTCAAAAAACTTCAAAATCAAAAACTTTAGTGCCTGCTTCTGCTACTATTGAAATCAGTGAGACCTTTACAAATGACTTTAATGGTAAGATAAGCCCTCTAATTATGAAAGTGGCAAAGATGATACACATGAAAACCACAAGTAATTTTCTGTTTGGTCATATCGTATTGTATTTGCAAACGCACAAGGCGGAATACTGCATGGTTTATTCTTGAATTAAACAATATTGTTGTATTTTGGGCCTAATTCTATAGTAAGCTACCATTATACAATAGCCAGTAGTAGTTTTGCCTCACAATAGAATGCAGGCCACTCATTATCATACATAACTCATATATATGGCCAAGTTAGTTCAAGGTCAATTTTTAAAAAAAGCCTCTTTAAAGTAATATAGCTCTTGGTTTTGATTTTACACTTCCCTAACTGATCTGAGTAATAGAAGGGTTTGGTGAAGCAGTTTTCTCTTCACATTTCTCATGTTTTTCATGTGATCAGTTTTGACAGGTTTTCTAGAAATACACATAATAACTGTAGCAGATACTGTACATGTTTTCATTTAAGGATCACTGAATGATACTAGAAACTTGCTACCAAACTATTGTAATCCTATACATCATTTTCATATTGCATTGGTGAAAGTGAATGATAATCCACCACAAGAAAAAATTACTCATAGAATTAAGCCTTTTTAATGTTCATTTTAGAAACATACCAGTCCAAAGAGATTGGAATTTGTAAACAATTCATAAGCTGTAAAAAATAACACGCAAAACATTATCACATACCTGCTGCCTGAATCTAAGTTTGTTAAAAATATTAGTCATTAGCTGTTGATTATGTTGGTGTGCAATATTTTAAAACATCTGTTTATTTATACAGCAGGGACAGCACCTTTCCGTGACTTCTACTCATCAGTAGTTATGAAAGGATAGTGGGCATGGACTTGAACTTATTCTTTGGCTTTTCCACTGATGCCATCAAAGAGAGTACAGTAAAACTTTTATTATCCAGCACTCTGTTAACCAGAAAACTTTGTTAACTGGCATTGCCCCCAGCCACAATACTGTCACATCTTCATGTGCACAGGCCTGGCTTGGTTTACCGTGATTGGCTTAACAATTTTTTATTTAAGAAGTACTAATCATCTTTAACTCAAAATAGAAATGTGAGACCAACTGCCTCACACTACAAAACTACCAATATGAAAAACTTGAGTTTTACTATTATTGTCCATTGGTTTTTCCTAGGTTGATGGGACCCTCTGATAATCAAAATTTTTAGATAACTGGAATGCCCTAATCCTCAAGTGTGCCAGATAACACAGGTTTTATTGTAGAATTTGATGTCAAATGCAGAGACAGGTTTTGTGAGGTGGATACTTACCTACTTAAGAACTGGAGATGGTATTATGCTACAAAGTAGAGCTAGTAAAAAATTTTCTGACACCTTTAGCTGGAAAATGCTGATTCAAAAGAATCAAAACGTTCCATGGGAATGGTCAGTTCCATGGCAACTTTTGACAGAAACCAAGCAGGGAGGCAGGCTAGCTGGTCGGTGTGGTTTCCTGTCAATCCACTTCCCTGCTGGCAAGCTGATGAATGGATGGGCTGCCATCTTCTTGGTTGCTCTTCAGGAGGGTGACTGGGGTCCCAGACTCTCCAGGGTTGCCAGTTTTCTAGTTGGTGGACTGCCATGGAACCAAGTCTGGGTATCCTGGTGAGTTGAGGAGCTGGCAGGTAGCCTAAAGAGGCAGGCTTTCTAAGAAGCTGAGTAACAACCTGAGGAGCAAGCTGAAAAAATTCATCTCAGTTCCTCCAAACAGAATTTTTCACAACTTTTCTGCTGGGAAAAAATTGTCCTTTCATCCTAATTTAGAAATATATACGATCTCAAAATATAATCTCAAAATTTTTCATAGTCAAGAAATGCCTTTTTGGCCAACAATACTACAAAATTCATATCAAAATTATTAAACCACAGAGTTCAGACTGATCTCTGAAATTTCTCTGTGTTTTGGTATGGTTCTTCTGCACAGTGGCCCATTGAGTTGGCTAAATGTGCAGTGGAGAGTGTGCTGAATCTTTGTGATGGGTTGGGTCACAGCAATTCCTTTGAGATTGTTACCTGATGATCTTATCATACCATTGTGTCCTCTCTACTGCCCTCTGGGACACACCACCAGTGTTCCCTCTAAGATTTTCCATCCGTGAGCGGAATGAGATTTGTTTTGTGCACCAATATTGAAGTCATGTGCACTTGTTTGGATGTGTGCCACTGTGACACCCACCAGTTACTAACAAAATTACATTTTATTATATAGTTATGCAAGAAAAAATACTAAAAAATGGATAATTAACAAGGTGCATGACCTTGCATCCACACACCCTGAAAACCACCCAGCTTGCTGGCCCCGGCCCCAACACACACTGTGCGTGCCCCCCTACCTGTGTCCCTATCAGAACCACACAGCCAGCTCATGCCTTTATAGGCCTGGCTAACTGCCTACCCACACACACACACCTTGTAGTGGTGCCCAACCTTGCAATCTGCTCCCACATATGCCACCAGTGTATGTGACAGGGCCATGCTATCTGCCCCTAAATACAAACAGCCGGTATCTAGGCCTAGGGCATACAGCCCACACATCTCACCTGTTCTCTCCACCCCGATTGTCCAGAGACCTGTGTTTGACTCCACACCTTGCCCTCTCCTCCCCTCACCAGAATTTACCTGCACCTGGTACCTCCCACCATCACAAACAGGTGGTGTCTTTGCCCCCCACCTGGGCTGGGTCCCTGCTGTCCTTGGCCCCACTGCCTCTCCTGCTGGTACAGACCCCAGTATCTGCCCCACCCTCTCTCACCTTGGCTCTCATGTGGCAGCTCTGGCACTGGCCCAGGCTGCTGGAACCAGCCTCCTGCTGTCTGTGATGCAGCTCATGGCTCCTCTGGCCCTGAGCACTGGACCAGCCTCCCGCTGCCCATGATGGCTCACGGCTCCTCTGGTCTTCGCCTTTGGACCCTGCCACCCACAGTGTGGCTCATGGTTCCTTTGGCCCCAGCTGCTGGAGCAGCTGTGTAGGAGGTAGGAGGGCTGGCATTATTTTCTGTACACCTGCACAAGCACACTGCTTAGAGGGGACCCTGCTCCCTACCGCTCTGTCCTGCTGAGCCAGAAGTTCTGATTCCCCCCAGAAAAGGTATAGAGTTGGGATAACAGCCCCCAGGAGCATAGCACTGATGGGACCAAATAAATCCATCTTACTCTGAATAAAGGTTTTACATAGAGAAAGCTCACAAAGTTCACTCTCTTTATCAATGAAATAAAGAGATGCACAGCTGTTGTTCCCTCCCAGGTAACAATTATTTACACTGGGTTTGATAATAAACAGAAGTGAATGTATTAAGTATAAAAAGTAGGATTGGTTGCAAGTGATAACAGACAGATCAAAGCAAATTACTAAGATAAAATAAAACAAAACATGCCAGCTACACCTAATACACAAAGAGAAGTTGTTACTAATAGTTTCTCACTCTAGTTTTCATGTCAGATGATGTTTTTTCTGACATGGATGCAGCAGCAAATCTCCACCCTTGTTCTTAGAATACTTTTGTTTATAGGTGCTCTCATGTATCCTCTCGGGGTGAGGAGCAGTCAGTGAAGCTAGCTGAAGACCATTATTGCTAGCTTCCCATTTCTTTAATAGAATTTCCCCAGGGCAGGAATCCTTTGTCAAATTCCCTCGCACCTCTCTAGAAAAATACCAACTTCAAGATGGATTCCAGCACTACGTGGCATAGTCACATATCTTTGTAGGACCAACCACAATATAGGCTTACAGGAAAAATAAGACTATTCACAGAGCGCTAGGCCATTAAGTTCCTTAAGTGTCAATAATGGTTTTCTCTTGAAGACCTAGATTAATAAACAGGTTTAGTCTTCATATGTCTAACTTCACATACAAGGATAATTCATGCACACAAATAAAATGTACCCATTCAAGGCATTTCAGGCTCTTCAATGTTAGGTCATATGCCACAGTTTGCATAAATCATATTCAAGTTATACATCTTCATATTCAAAACCATATTTCCATAAACCTATGGGGACACAGTGTCACATCTTCCAAAGATATTGTATAGCATGTGTATTCCCCCTGCATGTGGGGGAGCTCTGGAAGGCATTGTCCTGTAATGTAATGTTCCTGGAGATGTGTGGTTCTACACTGCCCGCAATGCAGACTTGTCTCTTTAAACCATGCTCTGCCTATATATGTATATCTATATATACATTTTAAATAATAATAAGTTTACCTGCTGTATGTCATTCCTTAGCTACTCCCCCTAACATTTTATCAAGTTGAGCAGACACTTCATTTATGTGGAAATATATTGGCTTCTACTTTCTTCAAACTACCGTATAATACTGACAGAAGACAGAATCCATTTAAAAGCTTCTTTCATTTCACGCTATTCAGCTGGCAATGGGAGCAAATATTTATGTATCTGTATTATATAGGGAAGGTTGGTGGGGTACAGCAGTAGTGATAACATTAGAGTTGGAACCATCATTGAGAATTTTCTGACTTTTTAGTATCTAAATAATAAAATATTGTAGTCACAGGGCCAACCCTTCAGCTGGTGCAAATTAGTGTACCTTTGTAGAAGTAAACGGAGCTATTCTGATTGATACCACCTGAGGATGTGGGCCACTGAAGTTTTTTTTCTCTACTCCAATTTTATATTAACAAACCTGTTTTTGTTTTTCAATAGGAGAATAAAATATATAGTCTAGGCCAAATTAGTTAATTACAGTGAGGTCAGTGGCCTTATATCAGGGATGAATTTGTCAGTCTCTGTAAATAATATACAAATGCAATATTTCTAAATTCTGCAATATGCAGGAAAACTATTAAAAGTTGTAGGGCCTATAAACTTAAAAATATCATTATTATAATGCACCACATATAGCAATCATGCTCACATCTGAGCAGCCAATGCTTTTAAAGGTTATAGTTAAAAATATATTGGCAGCAGAAATAAAAAGCAGCATGGAAATATACAATAAAATATCACACAATTATTCCATACAACAAATATTAGTTTAAAAAGAAGAAAAAACAACTTGGCTGAACTTTGAGCTCTTCACTCTTTTGCAGAGGGCTACTTATGTCCCAAGAGTAACATAAATGGTGCATAGGCTTTCTGCTGTTTTTCACATGAATGGATTTAGCACTAGAAAATCCTTATGTTTAAGGTCCATAGCAGCTCAAGCTCAAAACTACAACTGACCTCCAAAAGAAGCATGAGAACAAAGGCAATGAGGTTACTGTGAGGCAGGTACCATCTTTTTGTTGTGTTAGTACAGTGCAATGAGGTTCTAATTCCTCATTGTGGCCCATCAGAACCATTGCAATAGAAATAAATATCTCTATATATTTTAGTGTGTGTCTGTGTATCTGTCAGCAAGTCCATTTTTTTCAAGAACTCTTCCTAAATGGTAAGAGCTAGGACCACCAATTTGGAAGCTTCCTCTTCTCCTACCTTAAAAGCAAGGTCAGGGTTTGGTTGTGACAGGATAACCAGAAACCCCGGGAAAAGGACTGTTTTCCATAACATGCAAAGGGAGGGGCTGCTGTTTTAGTGTGTGTCTGTGTATCTGTCAGCAAGTCCATTTTTTTCAAGAACTCTTCCTAAATGGTAAGAGCTAGGACCACCAATTTGGAAGCTTCCTCTTCTCCTACCTTAAAAGCAAGGTCAGGGTTTGGTTGTGACAGGATAACCAGAAACCCCGGGAAAAGGACTGTTTTCCATAACATGCAAAGGGAGGGGCTGCTGTTTGGGGGGGGGGGAGAGCCTGTAGGAGAAAGCTATCTTGCAGAATGTCCACTGGGGGCAGCCATACCACAAGGGAGAGGCCAGCGGGACTAGTGCTTCACCATTTTGCCTGCCAGCCTACTGGTAAATGGCCTCTCTGGCTATGTCTAGACTGCATTGCTTTGCCGGGATACTGGAGGTATTCTGGAAAAGCAACACTGTGTCCAAGGAACACGTCTGCTTTTTCAAATTTTTTTTTTTGAAAAACGGACGCACTCTTTCACAATTCCTATAAACCTTGTTCTATGAGGAATAAGGGATGTGTCGAAAGAGCACTTTTCCTCAAAATTTGGCACAGTGTAGATGCGCCTAATTTTGGAAAAGCTTCTTTCAAGAGTAAATCGAAAAAAGACACACAATTTGTGTACTGCAAATTGCGTGTCTTTTTCCTATTTAACTTTACAGTGTAGATCTAGCCTCTGCCCCAGACCCTTTTCTCCCTTCTAGCTATTGGCTGCAGCACCAGAGGTTGGGGAGAGAAAAGGCCCTGGTGACTTGGGAGGCTTGGGGAGAGAAAAAAGGCCCGTGCTGAATAGGACTCCCCTTCCCTAAACCTCTCTTCATCTCCTAACTCTCACTCTCACCTTCCCACTCCAACCTCCGCACTTCTCTCCGCCCCACATCCACAAGGCTCTGCCCTGATTCCTGCTCCCCTCCAGACCACCAGCCTCTGCCCTGAAGGACCTGCACAATGCCAGGCACCTCAGAAGGAATGAACAGAACGGCTGTGTCTAGACTGGCCCCTTCTTTGGAAGAGGCATGCTAATTTCTAACTTTGGAATAGGGAAATCCGCGGGGGATTTAAATATCCCCCGCGGGATTTAAATAAACATGGCCGCCGCTTTTTTTCCGGCTTGGGGAAGTCAAGTAGTCTACTCGATTAGTTGCTTACATCCCAATATAAAGAAAGAAAATTAAATAAATATTAGACCCACACAGCTCTAAAACCAACATAATCTGACATCTTGTGGCAAGTCACTTAAGGGACACTGGTTAGTCTTAAAATGTATATATATTTAATGTATATTCTTACTTTGTTACTAACTCTGTGGGGAGAGAGAGACCCTGTCAAGATTCCTGGGCTCTATCTCAGCTCTGGAAGGGTCTAGTGAGTTACAGCAAGGGGGTAGATACATTTCAGCTCTATATAGAAACATTAGAACGGCCATACTGGGTCAGACCAAAGGTCCTTCTAGCCCATTATCCTGTTTTCTGACAGTGGCCAATGCCAGGTGCTTCAGAAGGAATAAACAGAAGAGGCAATCATCATGATCCATCCCTTGTCGCCCAATCCCAGCTTCTGGAAAACAGAAGCTAGGGACACCATGCCTGCTCATTCTGGCTAATAGCTATTGATGGACCTATCCTCCATGAATTTATCTAGCTCTTTTTGTGTCCTTGTGTTATGAGAAGGAATAAATAGCACTTCCATATCTATTTGCTTTACACCAGTCATGATTTTATGGTCCTCAATCATATCCCTCCTTAGTTGTCTCTTTTCCCAGCTGAAAAGTCCCAGGGTTATTAATCTCTCCTCATTCAGAAGCCCTTCCATACCCCTAATCGCATTTGTTGCCCTTTTCTGAACCTTTTTCAATTTCAATGTATCTTTTTTTGGATAGCCACCTGGGTGACACTGCTATTTATCGTTGTCTATTCTGAAAACTAACCATTTATATCTACCCTTTGTTTCTTATCTTTTAACCTGTTACCAATCTGTGAGAGGACCTGCTCTCTTATCCGATGGCAGCATGCTATGAAAAATGAGCTTGGAAAATATGTTGGCAAAACCAATCCTTTCCATCAGCTCACTGAACAAAGACAAAGGAGGCTTGTTCTTGATAGTGACAAGTATTAGAGGGGTAGCCGTGTTAGTCTGAATCTGCATAACAGACCTGACTAAGTGGGTCTTTGCCCATGAAAGCTTATGCTCCAATAAATCTGTTAGTCTGTAAGGTGCCACAAGATTTCTCATTGTTCTTGATGGTAACTTTGTTCATGCACAGGAGTCCTCACAAAGGTGCAAAGAGACCTCCTCTCCCCACAATAAAATGCAGCCCCATTAGGAGACATGGATGTATTGATTAAGCTCTTTGAAAGATTCTCCTCAAGGTATTTTTGTATGGCTCTGAATTCTGTTTTTGATAAGGAGTCATTTCATCCCAGTGGAATTTTAGCTCCTGATTGGAGATTGATAGGGCAAATGTAGGATCTTTTGGTGGTTAAAATGACAGCTTTCCTTTTATCAAATATATCAGCAAACTCTATATTTTTCAGGGATTAATGGGCCATTAGTTTCTTTGAATCTGCTGGATATGGAAGGCAATGGGCTTCTCAGCACTACTTTTGTTTCCTTGGTCCTTGACATAGCTAGACATAATTGTCCAGGAATTGAGAGCCAGGGAATACTGAGCTCTATTGGAAAGTTTGGTGACTAAATTAAGTTAAACTGCAAGGTCTCTAGGTGATTTCAGATTTCAACGTGGGGGACACAGTTTTATTGGTAACTGGCCCAGAAGATGCAAATCAAGCACGGGATATTTAAATCCTGGGCTTCATTTGCAACTTCAAATGCCTATATTAGCCTCCCTAGTTCAAACTAGGGGGCTAGTGTAGACATACCCTCATGGTTTTGGTGCCTCTGTCATGGCCTTGGGGATCCCACACATTATTTCTGAACCTTTGGGAGTGATAATACTGCAGCAGCTTCGGCCCAGTAGGAGAAAGAATAAGGAGAGAGAGGATGTACTGCAGGAAGGGGGAGAGAAGGGAAGGGAAACGCCCCCTAAAGAGCCAGAAAGGAAGCTTCTGTGAGGCATGAGGGCCTGCAGCTGTGCCTGCACACTTGTCAAACAGTCATTAAGCATGGGTGAGGCAGAGCAGTACCACCTAATTGACTAGGGCAGGCAGGTGGCCTGTTCTTAAGCCTAACAGCTGTAGAGGCTCAACAGTCACATGATGCACATGCTTATGGATTCTTTGCCTGCCTCTGGTAGCTTTGCTCTAAGTCTTGCTTCTGAGCTCAGCCTTATCCCAGTACAGTCCTAGCCCTACTTCTGTTAGGGAGCCAGCCTGCTCCTGCCTTCCCGATTTCAGGTAATCTGGTTCAGACTCCTGGCTCCAACTCAGTATTGACCCTGGGTTCTGGCATTCTGAGTTTGACTACAGTTCTGAGCCTCAACCCTGTTTCCTGTTACCTAGGCCATATCTACACTGAGAGATGAAGTCGAATTTATTAAGATCAATTTTTTAGCACCTGATTTTGTAAAGTCAAAGGTGCATGTCCCCACTGTGCAATAATTCAATGTAGTTTGAAGTAGCTCATCCCCAGTAGGATGGCCACCTACCACTTTGAGAACAATGCACTATGGGTAGCTATCCCACAGTGCCAGTATCCTTTGTATTCTGGGTTATGCTCCCAGTGCATGCTGGGAACAAAACTGTGCAGCCAGCGGTTCTGGTACATGTCATCAGCGACCCATAGTGCACTCGTTTCCTCCCTCCTTCCTCTGCTTAAGACCAACGGGAAACAGTCTTTTCACACCCTTTTTTTCTCTTGTTGGTTATCCACACAGATGCTATAGTAGCATAACTATGGAACCCATTGTGGAGCTCATTGAGCATCAAACCATTATGATGATGATGATGATGATGATGCAAACCTTGGCGTGCTTAAAGCTGGAGTGGAACAAGGAAGAATCTCAGGAGGCCATGAACATACTCTTTTGCAAAGCATTTGAGTTCAGTGACTGGCAAATGCTGCTGGCATTCGAGCCCCTGGACACAGTGGAATGCTGGTTTTGGTGCTGTCAGACAAGCACAGTCTGGTGGGACTGCATTGTTATGCAGGTGTGGCAAGATCAGCAATGGCTGCAAAACTTTCACATGCATAAGGCCTCTTACAGGGAAGTTTGCGAATTGCTTTCCCCTGCTCTGAAGTGCAAGAATACCAGAATGAGACCTGTTCTAACAGTGGAGAAGCAAGTGGCAATTGCCCTCTGGAAGCTTACAACTCTAGGCAGCTACCAGTTAGCTGGGAATCAATTCAAAGTGGGGAAATCTACAGTGGGGCTGTTGTGATCCAAGTAGCCAAACCAATCAATATCCTTCTGCTACAGGAGGTAGTAACTCTGGGAAACGTGGAGGGCTTTGCCACACTGGAGTTCCCTACATGTGGTGGGGTGAAAGATGGAACGCACATCCCTATCTTGGCACCTGCTCACCATGCAAAGGAGTACATAAACTGCAAGGAGATACTTCTAAATAGTGTTGCAGGGGCTGGTGGATCAGAAGGCCCGTTTCATTGGCATCAATGTGAGATGATCAGGAAACATGTATGGTGCATTTATCTTTAGGAACTCTTGCCTCTTTGGCAAGCTGCAAGCTGGAACTTTTTCCCCCCCACTTGAAAATTACAGACGGAGATGATCAAATGCCAAAAGTGATCCTTGGTAACCCAGCCTACCCCCCTTGTTCCCGTGACTCATGAAACTATTCAGAGGCAGCCTGGACCACAGAAAGGAGCAGTTCCACTACAAGCTGAGCAAGTGCAGAATGGTGGTAGAATGTGCTCTTGGGCATTTAAAGGGAATGTTCGGCAGTCTACTAACTAGGTAAGACCTTAGTGAATGCAAGATTCCTGTTTTGGTGGCAGTCTGCTGCGTGCGTCATAATATTTGTGAGAACTAGGGGGAAATGTATCTGTCAGGGTGGAAAGCCAAGGTGCAGCACCCAACCAGGGTTTTTATGCAGCCAGCTACCAGGGCAATACGGAGAGCACAGTGAGGGGCAGTGTAAATCAGAGAAGCTTTGAAAGACAGTTTTATGAATGGCCAGTTTTGAGTCATGCATATTTCTCTCAGTGAGGTGCCCCTGCATTCACTGTGCTTCTCTGTGACCTTCACCCTCACAAATACAAGCAATAAAGAAGCCGTTGTTCATAAATCATCCATGTTTATTTAGGAAACGTTGGGACAAAAAAGGAGTCCAGAGCAGGAGCTTCACGGAGGGCAGGGGTGATCACAATTGCAAGAACAGGCTTTTGCTTTGTGACACATCCCTCAGGGTTGAGTGTGAAGCAGCCCTTGACTTCCTCCCCATTCCACTCCCCGTGTTCTAGGGTTCCTGGGAGAGGAGGCTATGGAACTTGTAAGGAGGGAACATCGATCCACAAGGACTGGAGGCAGGGGGCTTGTTTAGATAGGCATCTTGGAAAGCCACCATGCGATCTATCACAGCTGCCATGGATGACAGCACTTTCTCCTGGTGCTTCACTTCGCTCTCTTTTCCTCATGCTCCGCTCACATCTCCTCCAGCAGCATATTCCTCCATTTGCTTATGCGCTCCCTGTCCAAGTTGGCGGATTGCATTTGCTTCTTGAACATCTCTTCCCTAGTTCATTTTTGTATGTGGATTTGGGCCAGCTGGACATCTGGCAGAGCTCGGGGAGTGCACAGGAGGCTGACTGTTATTTCCGCTGTAAAGAAAAATTAAGGGCAGACTTTATAGGAGATATACTGTAGAGTGTAAAAACTAATCTGTTAGAATAAAATGAAGATCTGTCTAAAGACAATATGAATATGTTATTTACAAAGCCATAGTTATGCTTTTAAGAGGCCACTTTGCAGCAGTTATACCTCAAGGTCTTAAGGGTGCAGTTGGACTTGGTTTGGTGGCAAGCATGGTAAGGGACAGACAGGGGTATGAGCCTGTAGATAGGGAGGGGGCAGCAGGACCGGACTAAGGGGTGGGCGAGCCGGGCAGCTGCCTGGAGCACCAACTGATGGGGGGCACCCGATGGCGGCTGTAAGGGTGTGCAACGCCCCTTCTAGCTACCATCAGGTGCCGTGTGCCCGGCTTCCGGTGGGCTGCAGCCGCGTTAACCCCCACAGTGCCCTTCCCTCCGTGGCCGCGGGGCCCTACACAGCCAGGCACGGCCTGCTTGGGTGGTCCCAGGCTGCGTGCCAGTGTCGGTGGCCAGGCAGTGCATGTGCCATGCACCCGCCCACGCGCCCTTGGGGGTGGGCCCGCACATGCGCCATTCACCCAGGGCAGTGCCGCCTGCCTGGGGCGTCAAAATGGCTCGGGCCAGCCCTGAGGGGCAGGGGGCCTGGGTGTAGCATCAGAGCAGGGCAGGGGCTTACATAGCACTTGTATTTTCGGTACCTCTGTTTGCCATGAGAGCGCAACTTTCCTTTGCTGCACGAGTGGGTTGGCAGGACGGAGGGGGAGAGCCCCGGGCATGGTGGCACGGCAGGTCAGGGCAGAGGCTCAAGCCATGCTTCATTGGGGATGAAAAAATGGAGGTTTATTGCAAAGGCATCAGCTAACAGCTTTCCCTGCTTCAGATCAGTCTTTTCCGAATCACACAGCGTGATAGGGAGTGGATGCTGACTGATTGTGGCCAGAAACCTGGAGCTTATGTGCTGCAATAAGGCCAGACCATTTACTGCTGGCTTGGCATGGAAAGGTGTCCTACCCTGGAGGACAGAATAAGGCAGTCCTCCCCAGAAACCTTGTGAGCAAGAGGAACTCTGTAATCCAGGAAAGCTTTATGGAGGTGTGCAGAGAGGATTTCCCACTTGGTCTCCAGTCATGTTAACAAGCTAGTCCAGGCCCTCCCCTGAGCTGTGTAGGTGCATTGGCAGTCAAAGATTGCACCCAATTGCCTTAACCCACTTTAAGCAAGATAAAAAATGTGAACTCACCAGAATTGCCCTCCCTGGGATCAGTGCCCAACTGTGATACATCCTAAGAGAAGGGGGATTATCTCAAAGGTTATAAGAAGTTCTTGGCTCTCTGTGACATCGGTTGGCCCACTCTCCTGCTGACCATTGTCCTCCTTCTTTTCCTCCATCATACTGCCCTCCATGCTGCTGCCTGAGGCTTCCTGAGTGTCTTGGGAGGAATCCAGGGACTGGCTAGGGAAGCTGGTCAGGTCCCTCCTATGGATCGCATGCTGCTGCTCGTAGAAGCGGCATGTTGGCAACAATGCTCCAGACTGTCCATTTGCCTCCTTTGTCTTTGGTACAACTGCCTCAGTTCCTTTATTTTCACTAAGTACTGCTGCATCTGCACTACCATAAACTCCATCAACTTTAAGGGCTGTTAAAGTTTTTTCTGTATTCCTGCTTTCATGAGGAGTAACCACTAACAGCCCTTAAAGTTGATGGAACGGGCTTGATAGTGTGGAATTGTTGTTTAGAAAACTGACCCAATGTGGCTAAGTTTGACCTAAACTCCTAGTATAGACCAGGCCCTAGTGTGCTTTGACCTTGGACTTTGGCACTGGCCATTAGGCCTGACTGCCTATGACCCAGTCTCTTGACAGATGCCAAAAATAAAGATCAGATTAGAAAAGTGAGACACAATTCTCTCCTGTTGAAAGTGCAGGCATAATCATTCTTTGATAAGTCAGTGTCACTTCTGACTTGTCTGGGTCCAGTCTCAGATAGTTGGCACTCATTCTGGTCCAACCCTCTGTGAAAAATCCAAAAATTATAGGAATAGCTGAATCCTGGTTTGAGAAATGGAGAGATGACAGAGTTGGATAGAGCTGAGTGTTACCCCCGTGCTGATGATACAACAGCCCACAATGCTTAACAAATCTTCCATGGTGGCTTCTTATACATAGTGGATGTGTGGGGTGACAAGCCTGAACCTCTCCTCCCCCCACACCCAGCCTCTAAATGCTCTTGGAGAAGATAAATTATTCCATTCCATCATCTGGAATCTTTTAGTGAGGAAGGATCAGAATTGTTCTGGGGCTGCCCAGCTACTCTGCAAGGCACCACAAAGAAGTCTACAAGGCATTTAAAGACAGAGGAGATGGATGTCCTCAAATATCTCAGACAGAGACCAAAACTTTGTGGTCAATTGTATCAAAGGCTGCCAAGAAGTATAATAAAATCAGCAGAGACACCTTTTCAGCATCTGTCATCACCAGATGATATCAGAACTATCTCTAGGCCATAAACAGATAAAAAACCTGACAGAAAAGAATCAAGAAAATGTATAGATTCCAGATGTGACTGGATTGGTTTCATTACCACCTCCTTGGCAACCTCCTCTGAAAAGGGAAGGGTGATAATTCACAAAATGGCTAATGGCAAGAGATTTTTCTTAAGCCAGGGACTAATCACTGCTCTTTTAAAGACAGCTGGAGTCTTGGCCTTCTGATGGGCAGCAATAAAAAACAATCAGTAGAAGGCTCAGGCAACATAGGGCTAGGTGGCTGGATAGAGCTTTCAATACTTTACCTGTATGGATAAAACTCTAAAGAAAAGAGGCCATTTGGCAACTCCATCTATGACCGTAACTGCAGATAGACTGCTCTGGGTAGTTTATTTAATTGAATCAATGTATTAATTACTGTAATTTTGTATTTATAAAATGCACCTTTAATCAACATGTCTGAATAGATAGGTCCAGATATTCAATTGGTGGACATCAGCGTAGCTCCACTGATTTCCAATCAGGAAAAGGATGCTATTTTTTTACAAACTATACTATAACTGCAAAATGTTGCAGTACATATTGGACAGATGTATGGTATTTTTGGGCTACCTGCAAGTAGTGACTGCAGAACAGATAGAATGTGATAAAGACATCAGATATCTGGCCTGACATTGCATTCCCAGGCTATCCCAGACTTTACTGACTTCAGGAGCTTTGGGTGTCAAAGTACTGCTGCACAGGGTACCTTATATTCTCTTTCCTGGTTTTACAGGTGTTGATTAGAAGGGTATAAAAGTTGATGGTTTCTCTTTCCAGTAGATGATCTGAATGTCTTTGTTTTTTGAGATCTCTCAGTTGTCAAACAACCCCGAAAACTCAACACAAATTACTAAATCTGACCTGGTATCATGCTGAAACAATACAATAATTCTAATTTGGCATGATGAGATGTAAAGCCAGATACCAGTCCAGCTTTGTTCAAAAGGTTTGGACTTTAGCAAACATCTTGAGGAAAATGGTCCAAATCTTAAGTTTGTTACTGAAAACAAACTACTTTGTGTAGTTCTGAGTTTCACTGAGAATACTGGGCATAGTTGAGAAGGGGCCTGATCCTGTGAGGTGCTGAGGGCACTCGGTACCTTCCAGATGGTACTCAGCACCCAACAGGTTGGGTACATGTTGGCTGAAACTCCAGGTTGGAAAGCGAATATCTGTTATATAAGCCCCGATTCAGCAAAGCACTTAAGCATGTGCTTAATTTCCAGTGAAATCTCTCCACTGAATCAGTGGAAGTTAAACGTATTCTTGAATGCTTTGCTGATTAGGGACAGAATAAGCACATGCTTAAAGGTAGGCACATGCTTATTTGTTTTGTTAAATCAGGGTCAAAATACTAAATTCAGTTACCATAATGTGCTTGGAATTGGATTGCTATAGCAACCAGATGGTGGCCAAAAAACTTGTAAGCAGAAATACATACACAGCCATAAGTGTGATTTAAACACTGACCATATTTGCCAGAAATATGAATAAGGAAATGCTTTTTAGAGCCAGATACATAAGCCTGTATCTGCCAAAATGAACAGAATGTGGTAAGCTGTGCTAACCTTGTAGTGTATGGAAATACACCAGTTTTCATGCAGTTTGCTTTTATCTA